AAAAAAAAAAAAAAAAAAAAAAAAAAGAGCCAAAGCCTAAAATTTCATTCATTTAAGTGATTAAGTTGAATAATTATTGTAATTTAAACTTTAAATTTTAATAAATGAACGTTAAAAAAACTAGAATCAATGTTACAATGATAATGGCTTTATTTACTTAAAATTATTTTAGAATTACAACCGATTAGAATATTCTTATAATCATATCGATACACTTTTTATCTCATTTTTTGAACCATTCATAAATAAAGTTTTTAAGATATATTCACATTTTAAATTGATAAGATTAAAAGTAATTAAAATCTGCTCACCCATCTGACGTTCACGTAAAAGTTGAGAGTTTTCTTGAATTTAATAATTTAAAATAGAAACTAACTTGTACTTTTGAGTCGTCAGCTTCAGCTCATTCACAACTTGCTCGCTCTTATATTGGGACGGCAAGAACAAGAAGAAGGATCAAAACATCAAAAGCTTTTTTGAAAAGTTACGTTGCTTAGAGAAAAGTAGCTTTTTTTTAATGTGAATTCCATTGCCTGAACCTATCCTATGCTCCTCGAGCTACTTACTCCCGATACATTTTGGTAAGTCGAGTGTTGATGGCCTTCTCCAGTAGAATTACCTAATTCTATCTTTCCAGTAAGTCCGTCCTCAACTTCGTAACAATAAACTTTATTATAGCATCATCCAAACTTAGATTCTAAACAACGTGGTATCCAATCTAGTTTGAAATTCAAAAAAAGGTGGTTCGATATGGGTGTAGAGATAGGAGTCTAACGAGGAGTATCCACATTGATTTTTGTTAAACATAGTATAAAAATTCTACAACAAAGGTCAAAATAATAACTATGAGAGAGGGAGAGATTTGAAAGTTCAAAGCAAAAAGGGGAGGCCCTTTGGAGCCCTTACCTTACACTATTCAGGACACAAAGACAAAAGCATGCACGTGAAGCCACAAAGAACAGATATTGAAATGGCTGAGAGGCAAAGGCTTATAGGACCACTAACACCAACACAACACACAATCCTTTATGATACCCACCCCTCTCATCATCTCCAATACCAACCCACATTCTCACCTGCCCCTGTTCTTCCATTTTGCTGCATTAACACATTATCCAAATCTCTGCTTTTCCATGTTTTTTAATTTGTTCTTAGCTTTTTCACACTGTTTTTCAACAACCTTTGAGTTTTAGATCACAAATTAACCTCTTTCTTCTTGATCTCTCTTCTTCTTTCTGCTTCTTCTTCTTCATCATCCATGACAAGCATCCTCCTTGCTTGAACTTCTCTTCTGCTATTGTTTCTCTATGTACTACTTCCTTTTCTTCTTCTTTTGCTCTCTCCTCCTTCAATTCTCTCCTTATCACCTGCATTCAGATAACGTTGCTTTATATCAGTGTCATCTAAAAAGGCTTTTTAAGGCCTCGATGCTCATTTGGGTAATACCCTTATTGTTGCTTAATGGACCACTAAGGTGTTAGGAACCACTTTAAGCATAAGCTCTCGTGGCTTTGCTTTTGGTTTCCCCAAAAGGTCACATATTAATAGAGATGTATTCTTTACTTATAAACTCGGGATCATGGAACTACCTCCTGACAATCCTCAACATAAGGGAATATACATGAAAAAAAGAAGATCTACGACAGCATTTTCAATGAGAAATATTAATACAGCTCGAGATCTTGATGTAAAAGCAAAGGAATATGTATGAAAAGGAGAATTTTGATGGGTCCCCCCCTAAGGTAGAAGGAAAGAAAATGAAATAGACACCGAAGAACGAAAGCGAACAGATACGTATTTCAAGGAGGGAAATTTGAAATTTATGCAGTAATTCAAGTGTTGAGACAAATCTCTCTAACACCAAGAATTGAACTTTCTGTTTGCTTCTGAAACTTAAGGCTGGGTTTTCTGACATCTGATATTATCACTTTATTTTCTAGAAAAATATGTTTCTATGGTATAGAGATAATCACAACCGTACGGGCTGGAAAGTAGGCCAATATGAGGAAAAAAATAGTATCAAAAAGGGACCAAAACATAACAACTTGTGGCTAACAAAAACAGTCCCCCACCTTGGGTGGTTATAGCACTCTGTTTCATGACATGTATGGGGACAACCCTGATTTGGTTGGCTCATCCTTGGAGGGAAATAGATTGGAGAGAAAGCTTCTATGTCTGAGAAAGCTGAACTTCACTTATGATCCACTTGTTTCTTCTTGTAGATTATATTCTTTGAGGGTTAGGCTGACAGTTCAATTTTGCATTAAGCTTTTATCTCAAGCTATGGACAAAGGCCATAATGTTGGGATCCCAAGCCAAATTGTCTCAAACGTTCACTAAAACTAAGTCTCATTCTGAAAAATTAACATCAATAACAACTCATTTGTTGGCTGCCGTGTTAACTTATGAGCTTATCAGTGTGTTAACACTATATTTATAAACAGTATATGAATCATAAACTATCCTCTTAATGGAAAATTTGAGAAATGGTTAATTTGAGAACTCCTTTCAAATTTTCCATTTAGACATTGTTGAAATCAAACTACAAGCATCAGACGAATATAACAAAGATTATAGCCTATGAAAGATTGGAGGTGGCATACCTCTGTCTCGGGAGTACTTTTAGAATTGGAATTAGGCGAGTCTTCTTCTAATTCGCATCTCTTTAATGCTCTCTCCATGATAGGAGGCGTGGAAGCAGGACTAGGACTGTTTGAACCAACGACTGTTGGTGTGCTTTGAGTTCCCATATCTCTGGTCATGCCATTGGCTTCCACTTTGTTCTCTGAAAATCACAACAGGAATTCAAAATTTTCCAATCCCAAATTCGATCAAACTCGAAATTCTAAAGAAGAACATAGATGATTCGACCTGGAATTGGGAGTTTCTGAACTAGTTGTGAAATAGAATATGGCTTTGTTCCAATTTGCGAATGATTGGAATAAACTAAAGGAGCAGATATGGTAATTCTGTTCGCTAAGTTCTTGAATGACCTCCCACTAAGCGATTTTGCAGACAAACACTCCATGGGAACTTCCCCAGAAAGTGGATTACATATATACTTCTCAGCTTCATTCCACTTCGAATTCAACGTAAACCCATCAAGAGAAAAGCATTCCCAACTGTTAAGCGACCTGGCTTGCAGTGCTGCACAAGAAGCAGCACCCAATCACAAAAAACAACCTCAAAATTCCCAATTCCAGAACACGCATTTTCAAGAACACCTTGTAGGCAAAGTAAAATCCGAATTCAAATAAACTCACCCTTGATAGCATTAGTGAACGAATAAGTAGCAGGGTCAATTTCGTCTGCAAACAGACCCCAGATAAGTTAAAGAACAGAGGAATCCATAGCAAGAATCAAAACTCCACAGAGAGAAAAAGAAAACAAAAACCTCCGAAAGGGTATCCAGGAGAGGAGGCGGTGCTAGTGACGGTGGTGACATTTGATCGAAACGACCTCGCGTCTTCTCGAAAGCTTCTGATGTAGGACCCGGAGAATCGCCTGGAAATGGCGGGGTCGCGGCCAATTTTAGCCTTTGCCGCCCATTCACGGAGGCTGAACTCCGGTTCGTCTCGCCGGTGAGAAATGAATGGAGGTTGCTCCATGAAAATGGAATTTTGAGCTTAACAAATTTACCAGACCTTCAAACTTTTCAATACTCAAATGCCTTGTGCTTTGGGAATGGCCACTGTTTTTCCTTTTATTTCTAGGAGTTTTTCAATTTGAAATTTAAATATTTTTCTTTTTGTTTTTTCCACGTCAGCATGTATAGAAATTCAAATAATCTTTATTTATTCTTTAAAAAACGTTGGTTCTTTTTTAAGAAAAATATATGATTAATCGGCTAAAATTGAAATATATATACATACTCACTTATACGTATTCTAAGAAAATTTTTAAGATGCCACCCAACCCTGAACGTTAAATTTCTCCAAGTAAAAGACTCATCACTTTAGAGTTTTTATGATTGAGCCACTAAAAAGAAAGGTAGCCCGACATTCTCTTGCACCCATGTGATATGATCATGTTACTTACTCTTCTTACTTTTCGAGTGAAGATTATCTTCAGATAATGATGATATGATATGCTTTGATATACATTCGCCTTAGTGTCGTGTTTGTATGTGTATATATATAAAAGAACATGAATTTAAAAGATGATCTCGTACCATAAGAACTTTTGAGCCAAGACGACTAGTATGCATTATGCAAGAGTATATGATCTGCATAACATCATGTTGTAGTCACATGATGGTGTTATGAGTCATGATGAAACCACTCAACTTAGTCACATGAATTGATATAAGAACAATATAAGAACAGTGCCACTTTAAA